AGTGAAACACAGCCCCGTCCTGCTCCATCCTCACAGTGTTGGAAATTCTCCAGCCTCTTGCTTTTTCATCGACATCTCAGCTCTTTCGCTCCCAGGACATCCCCCTGATAAACGTCAATGGGCTTGATGCTTCCGGGAGCCCCTGGGTGGAACAGATTGCTCACCAGAGGTTGGAGGTGGGAGTGCAGCCAGAGGTGCTCTGGCGACGTGCTGCCTAAAGGTCTGTCACGGAAGATCTGCTGAAGCACAGTTCTCCTCTGACAGACAGACGTGGGGCTGCCACGAGACAGACACTTCCACAGACACTGGTGTGGGCCTTTTCTCCCAGCTGAGCTCTGTGTGTGTGCGAGGGGTGCGGAGGGGGATTCTGAGACAGGGCCTTACCCCAAGGCTCTTCAGGGCCAGGCAAGCGGCCTTCTGGAGCTGGGGGGTGGCCTTTGTCAGTGCTTCGCAGTAGTAGAGCAAGGCCTGAAAGAGACAGGACAGCGTGAGGGCGGTTCCACTCACTTGTAGGGAAAGAAATGCACACCATTTTTACTCCCAGAGAGAATGCACACCATAAACCCAGACATTTTGCATGCCCTTCAGATGAAAAAGAATGCATTGTTGCTTTACCGGGTGAAGGCAATGTCTACACCAGGGGTCCTCAAACTGTGGCCCGTGGGCCACATGCAGGCCCGCAGACGACTTTTATCCGGCCCCGCCGGGTGTTTTGGCCATAGCAGCCTGTCCTGCTTAGCAGCCGACTCGTCCAGTGTGCATAGGAATTTGTTCATAGTTTTTTGTTTTAAACTATAGTCCAGCCCTCCAACGGTCTGAGGGACAGTGAACTGCCCCCTGTTTAAAACGTTTGAGGACCCCTGGTCCACACGGCTTGAAAAACCTAATGATTAAAACATTTCTATTCAAGGTTTGATATTATATGTTAATGTGGTTCATACATGCCATTTATAAGTAAAATATATATAATTCATGATGGTTAAAAAGCATCCCATTTATACATTCACTCTCCTTGATGTGCAGTGATTAAGCAATTGGCTGGTATCCAAAAGGTCAACAGTTTGAACTCATATGCTGCACCTTGGGAGTAAGATGAGGCTGTCTGTTTCTGCAAAGGTTTATAGTCCCAGAAACCCTATGAGGCAGCTCTACTCTGTCCTATAGTGTTGCTATGAGTTGAAATTAACTCAGCAGAATGGGTTTGACGTTTTCAGGACAATGATCCCTTCTACTCCATCAAGGGAGCCCTGGTGGCACTGTTTGGTAAGTGTTGGGCTCTTAATCTCATGGTCAGCCAGTCAAACCCACCAGCCGCTCTGATGGAGAAAGCTGAGGCTTGGAATCCCTCTACAGGGTCACTGTGAGTTGGAATCAACTAGATGGTAGTAGGTTTGGTTTTGGTGTACTCCACCAGGTAATGGCTTTGGGAAAAATACAATGATAATTCTGGCTTTCAAAGGGCCTGCGGGTTTAGTGGCCAGATGGGAAGGCACTTTCCCCTTTGAAGGAAAATGTGCGTAGTAGGCGTCATGAGAAAGCTACAAGATATAAGTCGGTGAGCTGTGGAGGAGTCCCTGTCTGGAGATCTGGAATGGATTCAATGACAACGATGAGGGTTACAGGGGGACTGAGGGTGGGCTAGATTTCTGTTGGGAAATTGGGGGAGAAGAGGTCACTTAAGCAAGAGGCAGTAGCATCCTTAGTTAAGAAGCGACAGACACTTATATTTTCTTTGCTTTTTGTTAAACTGGTTATTGTGAACTACGACTAAATCATGTTTGGCTCAAGACCACCTTGTCTACAAGAGGAGGAATCCTGCCCAGTCCAGGGTCCTCCTCACCATCACCGGCAGGTTTGAGAATCCACTGTTACAGGCTGTTGGGCCACCCGGCTCACTGAGGATGCCGGGCCCCTGTTGGCATTTTTTACATGAACTGTCTTTAATTACACGTATCTGTGTTCATAAGTATAAATACATTTCCAATAAAAAGGGGCCAAAAGAAGTTCATGAAAAAATGGGATAAAAAGATGGATGAATATTTGCATGGATTTTCAAGCCCCCTCATATGCATTTCAACTTCCTACTGTGTGGTTTGAGCGAGTTATTTAATTGCTTGTGCCTTAGTCTCTTAATATGCAAAATGGTAGCAGGAATAAGTACTACTACTAATAATAATTGAATATTATTATAATATATATAAATTATATATTTTTTACTTATAAATATGGTGATGCACGTAAAAGGCTTTGCCTGGCACAAAGTAAGATCCTGATAACATAATATTATTTTTTTATTCTGGCATACATCTGTGTATTCATATACACCTGTCTATAAGAGAAAGGATCCCATGCTGAGCCACTTATACTGAATCTCCCGAAGGATGATATATCTATAACCTTATATTTTATACCTAAGCTTATGTAACCCCTTACAGCACCTGGAATGATTTTTGGCCTTGGCTTAGCAGCCCCCAGAGTTTTTAGAGTGAGACCACCTGAAGGTATAATCAGCTGCCAGATGATGTGTTTGCTCCTGGGGTGTCCCCTTGTTATGGATCACTGTACCAAGACATAACTTGTTTACCCAAGAGCCAGCTAGTGATCACTGTGCAAACTGTAGTTATCAGGAAAGGCCAGTCCCTGGAGAAGGACGTCATACTTGGTAAAGCGGTTGGCCCTTGATAAGACAATCGATGCTGTGGTTGCAACAGTGGGCTCAGACAAAGCAAGGACGGTGCAGCTGGAGCAGCACCTGGCAGTACTCCTTTCTGTGGCACATGGGGTGAGGATGAGGCAGGACCAACTCCATGGCACCTCACAACAATGCAAACTGCAAAGGGTCCTACTGCATTCAATTCGGTGACCTCGGTTAGAAATGGTGATTTCTGTCTATCCTATTTTGGGAAAGCATATTATAAGCATGCATGTATGTATGCTTATCTGAAAACATGAATTCATTTACTCATTTATTTCTTTATCCAATGAATAAATAATCAGCCCCTTACCATATGCCAGGCTAACATGCCAGATGACAGAGCAACATGTCTGCTCATTGTAGCACTGTTTCCTGACCCCGTGAGTTCTGTCGTGGGTAGTCATCTCTCAGAAGGCACTCTAACATGGCCCTGGACTCATCCGTGATCACAGTGACCCCGAGCACATGGCTTCTCACCACCATATCCCTCTGAGCACGATGGCTGAACCTCTGCAGACTTCAGTGTGAACTGTGGATGCATCCCTCAAGAAGGCATCTGGCACATCCCTGTCTCTTGCAACCATCACATAGTGTACTTTAGTCAGAGTGGTTGTCCAAGAAAATGTGACAGTTGGGACACTCAGGAACTTTACTCTGCACAGGGTGGTGGAGGTGGTAGTGGTGGTGATGGTGGTGGAGGTGGAGGTGATGGTGATGATAATGGTGGTGGTAATGGTGATGGTGGTGATGGCAGTGATGGTGATGGTGGTGGTGGTGATGGTTGTGATGATGGTAATGGTTGTGGTGGTTGCGGTGGTGGTGGTGATGGAGGTGATGGTGGTGGTAATGGTGGTGATGGCAGTGGTGGTGGTGGTGGTGGTGGTGATGGTAGTGATGATGGTGATGGTGGAAGTGGTAATGGTGGTGGTGGTGATGATGGTCAACACTATGGCTCCTTCTTTCAGATCTTGGTCTGTTGACTAGATATTGCCAGCCACACTGCACAGGCTGAGGGCAAGCCTGGCCTGGGGCTTCAGGACTTGGGACAGAAAGAGCAAAGATTACCATTAAGTTTTGCCACCTGGAGAGGCCAGAGAAGGCCCAATACAGTAGGGAAAGCCTAGGAAAACTACATGATTGTGCTGGTGATAAAGTTAATTTTCCAATGGGCCAACTCTTGGTCTCAGACGATCTCTCCCTGGTTCCCTGGGACCACAGACATCTGCCAAGATTTTGGAAAACTCATCACAAGGTGTCTGACCTCAGCCTGCCCCCCAGGGCAGTGTCTCCAGCTGTAGCCCTTGCTTTCAGGTCCATTAAAACCTGCCCATCCCAGTCCTCCTTCCGGAACCTGGAGCTCATCAGAGTGGTCATCAACTTGTCTTGCTGGCCCAACCTGTACTGGTGACAAAGCTATGAGAATTCCAAGAAACAGCCCTGGTGATAGAATTCCACCCAATCACAGGTGGAGGAAGCAGCTGTTCTGAGAGTTTTCAATGGGGAGGAACATTTCCTTCAAGGGCATTAAAATCTCACCTGCTCGGCATGTTGGAATCTAAACGTCTCTGTTCCCAGAAAGAATGGAGCAGGGCTGACGAGGTGAAGCCCAGCAGACAATCGTGGAAGGCAACAGTGAACACAGTTAGGTGTGGCTTCCGCCCTCCTGGAGCTGGTCTAGAGCAGGCTCCACGAAGGACAGCTCGAGAGCTCTTTGAAAAATCGTAAAGGATTTGGTGATTTCACTTGTTTGAAAAGATACATTTACAGCTCTTGAATCATTTTT